TCTTTTTCTTTTATTATTATGGAGAACAGGTCATGATTGAGAACCGACGAGGAAAAAGCCCTTGTATTCTTGTCTGCGAAGCACTCTTGTTTTTTGACCTAGATTGTGATCCACTGAATTTAGATATAATTAGCATTTTCAATTTTTTTTTGTCTAGATTGAGCTACACTGTAACTACTGGTTAACTTCTTCTTTTTTATCGGCAACTGTTGCTTACTTTGTTATATATTACTCTCTAAAATGCGTTAGGCCGAAAAACAAAAATTTCTTGGGCGTTATTTCTTTATTTAAGTAAGATAATTTGCTCCATTTGTTGACCAAGGTAGCTAGGTTTGATTTTTGAGAAAATTAGCTAAAGAAATATACAATTACTTAATCCAATCATACCAATAATTAATTGATTCAAGTGAAAGAAGTTTAGTTTTTTTAAATAAAATCTCAAATTTGACTATTGTAAATAAAAAAATAAATATTGAAAAAATTTCTCTTTTATAAGATCTAATGCTAAACTTAATTTTAAATTAATTAAAATTTAATATAATTTTATATATCTAAAAGTTAATAAAAAAAAAACCTAATCCAATCATGACTAGTATCTTTCTTTATTTGTTGTTGTTGTTTTCTTTTTTCTTTTTTCTTTTTTTAACTTAAGAAGTGAGCATGCGAGCTTAGTTGGAGTGTACTTCCTATGAAAAATAACTCAAAATATCACACAATTAATTGATTAAGGAAAAATTTTTACATTATTGAATTAAAACAATACTTTATAATTTCAATTAAACTAAACTGTAAGAAATTGATTATTAAATTAAAAATGAGGTCCTAGTATTACAGGATAGTTATCCATCCAGGTAGCTGATGACCGGAGACTCTTAGTGAATTGCATTATGATCTTTTGTTAGTGCTTCTTTATGGCTTGACCACTAGTCAATGGTATTCAGTTTCCAAAATTTTTCCACACTGCCTATTTTCTAGTTGTTTATGATTGAAGATATGAAGTGGGGGATCTGAGTGATCACTTTACATTTGTGGAGAAAGTTGGTGTGGGAAACTTTAATTTCCACCATTGCTTTTTACTACGGACTTCTTTTTTTTTTTTTTTATGAACACGGATATGGTAGCTTAGAATCCATGCAACTTCATTTAAATTTCTCTGTACTTTCTTTCAATTTCACTTTTATGGTTGTTGCCGATGCGACTGCTATTCACACTAGTCCTAAAGCCTTGCCAATTGACTTGGTACTAAGATAGATGACTAGAAATTTTAAAAAATTTATAACTCGAGTCAATGGCCATTGGTATGTATATTTATTTGGTTAACTACTAATTTTAGTGCTTAAATTTTGAATTTTGAGCATTTTAGTTTTAAAATTATCTTCAATATTTTTTCATCTCTTAATTATAAAAAAATATTTTTTTGTCTTTTTATTAATTAAGTGATGATGTAACTGTTAACTTATTTAAAATTTTATTTTTTAAAATTTTTTTATGATATGTCCAATGTAAATAGGTCTCTTAATTTTATGGGACAAAATATATATATATATATGGAGTTTATATCAACAATTCTAATTTAAATGAATAAATAATAAATTAAAAAAACTAGAAACTATCCACCAGTAAAATTTACTTATAAACTAAAATATTTAAATCTACAAAATGATAAAATACCCCTAAAATCATTTTTCCCCTTCTTAAACTTCTTAATTAATCACTAGAAACATTTTTTTGGCACGATAAGTCCACATAAGCTAATTTAATGATGTGTCATTGTCACATCATCCAAAAAAAGTGCTGTTTTAGATGGAGTTAATAGCTATATCATCACTTAACTCACCAAAAAATGAAAAAAGTGCAATTTGTAAAGTTTAAGGACAAAAAAAAAGTACTAAAAAAATTAAGGGGTCAAAAGTGTTCAAAATGTAAACTTTAAGAATTAAAATTGACATTTAACCTAGTTATTTATCCTGTCCTTAGGTCTGGGTTTAAAATCCGTTCATCCGTATTTGTTCAAGTTCAAAAACATAACAGGACACACAAAGGCATTACTTATGGTACATATTGAAACATTTTGACAGTCTTAAATTCAAAACTTCCACCTCAAATATCAAGAAAAAAAGGAAAGAAAAGTAAGGTTATGATCCACTTTTTTGTTTTTTCCTTCAAAATAGAAACTTCTCAGCATGTGAAATAAAGCTCATATACAAAAGATAACAATAAAACACTGATCAAGTGTTTTTACCAAAAGAAAAAAAAAAATTGAAAAACACACTGATCAAGTGTCTATGATCCAGGTACGTTGAATTGCCCACAAAGATGAATAAAAAGGCTAAATTTATACCAACAAAAATTTGGTCCATAAAATATCTATTAATTTAAAGATTTTAATTAAGGATCAAGATTAAAAATTTTAATTTTTGTCCTGTCAATCTTCATATACTAAAAGAATAAGTAAAGAAATGTTAAACTTACGTATTTAGCTGGGATCTCAAACATTTTAGAAGTGACTTTTGAGATGAATTAAAATAAGGGTATGCTTGGTGCAACTTGTTAGAGTTTTTGTTTTTTTGTTTTTTTTTTTTTTTT